AGGCAACGGTTTGACTCTGCTCCTTGCATTGCTGAAGTCCATGGGCGACGGTAAACACTCACCATCTAAACCTGAATACTCCTCGTGCTCATTACATAAAGAAGCGTGAACAAACAAAGATAGATTAAACAAAATTATTACGAACTGTTTCTAACATGATCTAATAGACCGGTTTAAAACTAGATCGAGTCGCAGTCTAGAATATTAACTAAGTGCTTTCCTTTTAGATAATGATTATGTCGTAATTGGCCTAATACATAATTGTATTAACCTCTGTATCACATAAAGTTAGACTAAGCAAGTATATTTTATAACTAAATTAATATTTCAATGATATAAATAGCACTTTTTATTTGTATCGTGATATAATTACTAACGAGCTTTATATTCAATTATGATTATTTAAATACGTAACCTCAAGCAAACTAACTAACGTAACTTCAATTTAACCTTGACCGGATAGATCAATTAAGTTCTGATAGTTTTCTAAATAGAGTTTTAAGGGTTTTTAATACGCTTTTATTAGCTTCAGACGTATGTATGTTTGTAACGGAATCTTTGAACATGATTTTGACCCCCTTCAAAACGTCGGATTAACTCGAAATTTGGTATACGTATTAAGGACCGATGACAATGCAATATTTAAAAAAAAATTAGAAAAAATTGAAATTCAACTAAAAAATAGAAAATAAATTTTAATCAATTTGAATAAAAAATAGTGTAAGAAAAAATGATTTTATTGTAAAAATCGTGGGGCGCATGGTATAAGTTGTTAAAAATATTTTATCTTTTTTGCCACGAGCCACGAGACTTTGTAATGATGTTTGTCAGAATGAGGTTCGAGAAGAGTCCTAAGCGATGACGGACCTCAACTGTGTCCCGAGTATTGCTAATATCACCGTAAATTCTCATATTAAGCTAACATAAGAACGACCTAGCTAAATCTTTGCCATTATCTCCAAAAAGATGGCCGGAATCTTCAGAACATGTAAGCGGGGTGGCATTTAAGAAAAAAAGTAATATAAAAGAGTTTTGACAAGTTTATAGGTTTCTTTATACGAATCGGGAACGATTTAGAAATTTAAGGGATAGCTTTTTTGATCTGACTTATTCCCGGGAAATACTTGGACGAGTTAGTTAATTCTTCCACATTTTTGGTGAAAAGCAATTTGGTTTAATCGATCGATATTTTTGCAAATTAACAGGAGAGCCATTTAAAGTTTAAAATTTGGAAAAAAAAATATCATAACAAAAAAAACTTTTTCAGCTATTTGAACTTAATTGGAGTTCGATTAAAAACATCGAACTGTTGATGCTGATATCAAATAAAACAGACCTTTAATTACAAAGTTAAATCGTCTTCTCACATTAAAGCTGTATAATCTCAAAACTTACTAATTTTACAGGGGAGTGTTTTAAAGATTTAACATGTAATATATCTATATATAAAAATGAATTGCTGTTCGTTAGTCTCGAGAACGGCTGAACCGATTTGGCTCATTTTGGTCTTGAATATTTGTGGAAGTCCAGAGAAGGTTTAAAATGTAGATAATAAGAAGGTAGATAAATAAGATAGGAATTAAATAAAAATAACAATTTTGTTTTTCCTTTGATGTGTCCCCCGTCGGACGGATTCCTTTTGTTTGTTTTAGGTTTATTTTATACAAAAGTTTAGGTCTTTTATTTATCGATTGCGGCACTACGAAGTTTGCCGGGTCAGCTAGTTTTTAATATTAATCATCTTTGCAACATTTATTTTTTATTTTTTACTAGTTACATTATCTGTCTATTAAAGTAAGATAAAATTATGAATTATTTAGTTTTGTTAATAGTAGTAGTCAAAACATATTTAACAGTATTTATAAGAAAAATACTGGTTATACCCTACGAATAACTTATTATTTATTCGTAGGTGGATACCAAATGATTCCGCATATTATCATTATATTTTTTTATTCTATTGCTTAGATGGGTGGACGAGCTCACAGTCCACCTGGTGTTAAGTGGTTACTGGAGCCCATAGACATCTACAACGTAAATGCGCCACCCACCTTGAGATATAAGTTCTAAGATCTCGGTATAGTTACAACGGCTGTCCCACCCTTCGAACCGAAACGCATTACTGCTTCACGGCAGAAATAGGCAGGGTGGTGGTACCTACCCGCACGGACTCACAAGAGATCTTACCACCAGTTTATTATTTATTAACTCCATTTCGAATATTTAAAAAAATTGTACACTTTTAATGCGAAAAGACGAAATGTCGCGTGTTTAGCGAAATGTCGCTTCAACCAAATAACTTTTCATCCCTAGATATATGAAAATGTAAATTAGAACACGAATCAAAATATCTTACGTTAATAATATCCATTAACCATTCGTCGATTTGAATTTATTTAAATTTATTCAAATTACATTTGACGGTCTATATTATAAGGTCTTGATTGATAGTGATTTATGCTTATTTACAAAACGCTATACAAATATGAGATTTAGAACAGGTCCATATACTTAATTAATTATGTCATCAGTTGCCAACGAAATTTTCGGTTGAGTCGAAGTAATTATCTCCATTACTCTTTTCAATTTTTTTTTATTGCCTATATTTGTGGACGAGCTCACAGCCCACCTGGTGGTAAGTAGTTACTGGAGCCCATGGACATCTACAACGTAAATGCGCCCACCACCTTGAGATATAAGTTCTAAGGTCTCAGTATAGTTACAACGGCTGCCCCGTCCTTCGAACTGCTTCACGGCAGAAATAGGCGGGATGTTGGTACCTTCCCGTGCGGACTCACAAGAGGTCCTATTACCAGTGAATCCGAAGATACTGAGAATGAATATATTTCTAAGAGACGTAAAAGGCTAAAACATACATTAACAAACAAAAGAAGGCAAAGTTAGGCAATCCTGGCGTCTTAGTATCAGAAATCAACAAAATTACTTCAGGGCGCCGCGTAGGGCACCGGTGACCTACACAGCAGTTAAAGGGTTAAACGAAAACTATCATTCAAGTATTTATTTTCGATTACAGCAAACGCAATTACTTTTACAATTTCATCTCCAATCTGTTCTATGTAGGTAACCCTCTCATTCTGTATATGTAGCCTCTATATGATTTACAAGCTGTACCCGTCCGCTTCGCTGGGCAATTAAATTTAACATTATTATTTCTCACCCCCACAAAGATTCTCATCATTAACGCCCCCGCAACTGGTGTAAGGAGTCCAACACTCATATAAACATTAGCCTATCGATTAGGTACATGTATTTTCTACATGGATACCAAGTTTCAAGTCAATCGGACGCACGGTTCAGTAGTTATAACGGAACATTTGTAAAAACCACTGTAAATTTATATATTAGTATAGATATAGATGACATAAATCTTAAAAGAGGTTCTAATAAGTTATACAGGTGACATAAATAGTATTTTGATATTGAAAAATTAGAAGAAGAAACATTAGATACATTGAAACATTTTGAATATTGAAACATAATATGAAACATAATATGAAACATAAGAACTGGTGAAGCAATGCTGTTTCTCTAAACAGAGCAACTCATTTTGTGCTATAATTTTACTGGGCTAAGCTTTTATTTATGGTCCATAAAATAATACATTATTTAAATAATAACCTTTTAAAATATTTTGTGGATTTAATGGTCACAGACAACGCGATTTATTGTAATGACAATAATAAAACCGAAATTAAATCACAAAAGCAGTTTATATTAAGCCAACAGTAAATCCCTACTTTTGTAAAAGCTCGAATGCATTATGGAACTTTTTCAATGAACTTTTACTCTCGGATTATCGAACAAAGCTTTCGTCTTTCAAGCCCGAATCAATATTTTGTGCAGTCTTCATTGCAATCGTTACACGTTACGTCACAAGTGGCTAATCGTAGTGTATGACCGATATTTATTATTACGCCACGTCGTATTTTACCCTCTAATGACGTCACGCGAAGTCAAGCAGCAGGGGCAATTTTGCGAAATTCCCGATCTCCCGCATGGGTCAGTCGTCATTGGTATTGTGTGATTTTACAGCTAATCTATCTATATCTCTATATATAAAAATGAATTGCTGTTCGTTAGTCTCGCTAAAACTCGAGAGCGGCTGAACCGATATGGCTAATTTTGGTCTTGAATTATTTGTGGAAGTCCAGAGAAGGCTTAAAAGCAGATAAATATGAAAACGCTCGGAATTGAATAAAAATAACAATTTTGTTTTTCCTTTGATGTGTCCCCCATTGGACGCTTTCCTTTTTTATTTTTAAAGTTTTTTTTCATACAAAAGTTTAGGTCTTTTATTTATCGATTGGGGCTTTACGAAGTCTGCCAGGTCAGCTAGTCAGACATAAAAACCTAGACTATGAATGCGTGAAATTCCAAAGTTCCCGCTCTTCAAATGTAACGCGCATTGGACGACATAATATAAACCTCATTTACACGTATAAGTTACACCGCTGATAGAAAAAAATAAAATATAGTGCATACGATATCAGGATTTTAGTTTTCTAGCCAGAATTATAACAGCCGTATATAATTACTGGCGGTAGGACGCATTTTGAGCGCACTGCAGCAGCAGCTTTTGAAGAAATCTCTATCGTAACCCCTCCCACCCTTAACACCGGATAAGAACAAGTTCCACCACAACAAAAACCACTACAGAGTTGCTAGTGAAATTCTACCAAATTACCTAGTACGTATTAAATTATTTAATCATTGTACGACTGCAACTGTTATGCAGTAGGTACCGTTGCGTGATATATTTTTCGGTTACGTCCATATTGGGATTACGAAAACTGAATTTTTTGTTTTTGGACCGGTTCTTTTTTTGCTTTCATACAAAATTAAAATGTAAAATGTTTTTTTTTTAAATGTTCATCATAATTCATAATGTTTTCGTTTGACTGGCAACATTTAACATTTTCATTATAATACGCTTGTCTTATGAAAAAAAAAATTGAAAAAAAAATCCCATGTGCACTGACCTCTTAAAACGTCAGCTGGAATCAACCGCCTGAATGTCTTCGGCCTCTCCTCCTTCTCTTCAGCGGCGAACGCCAAAGCGAAAACGGCCAGTACGATAAGGTATTTCATTTTTCTAGGATACGTTTAACAAAAAAAATGTGTTTTCAAAAAAAATAAAAATGGCGATTCCCGCGTCCCGTTTTGACAGCTCCGTCAGTTTCGCGCCACAAGACTGAGTTGGTGTGAGCGAGTGGGCTCTGTTTTATTACGGTCGACCGGCGGGGAGTGAACGGTCGAACAAAATGGCCGTACTGTATTATTATTGTATTTGTTTTTTTTTTTTTTATTTTATGAAACGTATATTCAGAAGACTCAGGGTTGGCTTTGTTGTGAAATTATTGCTTTTTTTTTCGGTGTGTGTGCGTGTGTGTGTCATTTTTTTTTGGCGGGTTCATCTATTGATTTGATGCATTGTGTTAAACCGTTCACTATTGTGAAAGATCTTTCTAGAACGATGTATAGAACATATCCGGCCTCATGTCGGCTGACAACGGTTACAGACAGACAAGAGTTTCCTTGCAGCTTTTAAAGTATATTGAATTTAGATATTTTTCGAACTGACAATGAGGACCAGATAACTCTTCAGAATTTCGATCAAAAACAAAGTGATTACTGAAAATTTATAGGCAATCATATCTCACCGAAGATCGGGGATGATCTAAGATCTTTAACATCAGATAAACTTTTTATCATGACCTTAAATAGAAATCGTCTTGTGATTACAAACAATTCACACAAATAGGTAAAATAACCCAAAGATCGGACCTACGTCTAGCCGACAGTCCTACACTGCATTACTATAGACACAGTCCTCTGCAGCTCTGTATTGATCCCAAGCTCTTCTTGTTCACAAACAGACACAGATCCGACCTACATCTGGCCTCTAGTCCTATACTACACTACTATAGACACAGTCCTCTGCAGCTCTGTATTGATCCCGAGCTCTTCTTGTTCACAAACAGACACAGATCCGACCTACATCTAACCTTTAGTCTTATACGACACTACTAAAGACACAGTCCTCTGTAGCTCTGTAGTGATCCCAAGCTCTTCTCGTACACAAAGAGTCCCAGAAAGATTCAACATAGCCGAGAGTACCATACAAAGATAGCGTAAATTGCGTAAACGTAAATCTGGCTAATTGATGATATAAGCGTGATAAATCAGAAGTCTATAGTTAATTTTTTCTCACGCCTATCCTTCAGAACTTCATTTGAATTCAAAACTTATGTGATTCTTAATGAATAGATTCATTAATGCAACCGAAATTTTTGTGTAAGAAAATAAGGTGGTTTTAATTGGATTTTATATACAAAGTTAAAAACGAGAAGCCATCAAAACTTAATTAGAATTAATATCATAATGTTTATTGTCTGTTCCGGGGCTAAGATATTCAAAATCATAATAATCATTATTGTATAATAAAAATCGCGTAAAATCTTTGTTACAAGTTTTATTTTTCCGTAGCTCGTAAACTAAATAATGTACACAGTAAACACAAATGGACATTGTTATGCCAAAGTGTACCAATTACTCGCTTGGTTCAAATGGATCCACAGTTAATAATAATTATACGACAAAAGTCCTGCGACTCTTAGTGAGAACCAATTGACAGATACTTATAGATACAATCATATGATTCGTAGCTTTTGTATCAAACAAAACTCAACTTAAAAACCTAGACTAAATTCCCTTCCCGATAATATTTTTTATTGCCCTGTAAGGCAGACGAGCATACGGCCCACCTGATGGTGATGGTTAATATCGCCCATGGACTTTAGCAATGCCAGGGGCAGAGCCGCTGCCTACCGTTAAGTACTCTCTACAAGCCTCCTTTGAAGAAGGATATGTCATAGCGCCCGGGAAATACCATGGTGGGGAGCTCATTCTAAAGCCAGATGGTACGTGGCACAAAAAATCTCTGGAAACGCATCGTGGATGAACGTAGTGGCTCCAGGTACTATGGATGAACTATACCCCGGTGGCGGGCGGTGCGACGGTAAAAACGAGATGATGGTAGCAAAATACGCGGTGACAGAGAGATAGTGCATCTCGCATTAAGATGAAGAAACAGAATCACCCGGCTTGCACCACCATCCTATGCAATCATACCGACACCAAACCACTGTGAATGGCTGGATAAACTTTGGTTTCGCTCTTCAAAAGTAGGCTAACATATTCAGTTGAACAGATAGGCACGGACGTCAAAAAGGGCCATTACATTCAAACCACTATTCACTACTTAGGACGCTTGTTTGTAAAAAGAATGCTATGCCATACTTACAAGGCAGCATTTACTTTGTGGTCAGCGATAGCAATGACATGAGACGGCTTAAGCTACATAATCCTTACAACTATTTTACAGGCTTCACATAACACATTGTAGTAATCACATTAGCAATAATACACAATAGGATTTAATACGGGTCAATTTGCACAATAATAACATAAAAGGTATAATAAAAATGACTTTTATGAATTCGTTCAGAGAACAATGCCACAGGTCTAAATTATTGGCCACTAGATTCCGTAGCGATTTCAATGCATCTTTCATTGTTACACGACTCGTGTGGGTAGAAAAACTTGTATCGTATCAAGGTTAGTACTCTAATAAAACTTGTCGATCTAGATTTGAAATGGTTTTTGTTATTTTGATTGTTTTAGTCTAGAACGGGGTAGCAAGAATTTTGCCTAGTATCAGTCCGGTCTATTCAGTCAGTTTTGTATCCTCCACCTCTCGCGTTGTCTTCCTCGTCACTGAGGGTAGTGATACCCTGTGAATTAATTTCAATGATACCCCTCCATCTGTGTCCTTGACGTCGTGATGAGCATCATGCAGCTTGAGAACGACTTTGGTTCGACTATCTGGGTAGGATGCGACCTTTTAATCATTATATTCCGCTGTTAATCAGATCTGACTGACCCTAAGATTTGAGCCCAAACCTATAGACCCTGTGATATTTATGTCGTAACTTTGACCTAAGGATCAAGGAGTTCTCGTTGCAACTCTCAACGACCTTGACCATTTAGCACCCATTTTTTTTTTTTTTTCGGCCCGGGGGCCGAACCTCCTACGAGGTCCCCGCGCCTAGGGGGCGCGCGGGGTATGTGAGACTCAACGATCTGCAGGTGTTGAGAGCAGATCGCGGGCCCAAGGATTTTAGGGCCCGCCCACTAAACGACTCCCCTGCACTCTTACACCCGACGTCCGATCTCCGTCCGGGGTCAGAACCCGTTCAGAGTAGGGGGGTTCCCGCGGTCAACACTACAACCAGACACGCGGCGCCACCCCGAGGACGCCCGACCGACGGGTCGTCGAGGCGATAGTCGACGACCAACGACGTCTGTCTCCGCGGTACGGCGGCCCTACCAGGCCGCCCGGGCGGTGCCGCTGGTGTTCCGGGATACCCCGCTGGGCCAGAACCAGCCTGCCGGGTCGGAACGCGATACACCGCCGACCGGGTTGCTCTTCAACAGTATGTTCGGCGACGACAGCGACGACGAAAATGCGGACCGCATCGCAGTCCGCAGCCGCCGACGCGCCGTCCCGTCCTCCTGGTGCCAGCGCGCTAGAGTGACGGTAGCGTGCGGCGCAGCCTCAACCCCCTTAGGTCGCCCCGTGACCATCACCGGGAGGAGACTGCCTCCTCATAGGGGCTGGAGCTGGACAAACGCCCTCCTCCGACCCCCGGCTCGACGGCGGCGGCACGGCGCCGAGAGGGAAGAAGAGCTCTCCCTCTCCCGTTCCGCCGCCTCCTTCTGCGAGATGGTGGACTCGCAGAAGTCGAGCATCGCCTGCCAGGACTCGTCGCTGCCGAGCATCGTAGCCACGACGGTCGGAAGCGACAAGTCCGGTCCTATTTTTGCAACGAGGACGCGGCGCTGCTCCGCGAAAGCGGTGCAGTACGCGAGCGTGTGCTCCGCCGTGTCCTCGTTGCAGCCACTGCAGTGGTGGCACTTCGGCGTCGGCTCCCTCCGGGCGACGAGGTGCAGGTAGCGACCGAAACAGCCGTGTCCCGTGAGCACCTGCGTCGCTCGGAAGGTGAGACGTCCTCGGTCGCGATTCACCCAGTCCGAGAGGACCGGGCGGATCGCCTCGACAGTCCGTCGCCCGTAGGCGGGGTCCGCCAGGCGGCGAGACCACGCCTCGAGCCGAGATTGAAGCTTCCGCGCTCGAACTTCCGCCGCGCCGGGACGCGGCTCCCCCCTGGAGCGGAGATCGCATCGCCACGCGTAATCCGCAGCGAGCGCCTCCGCTTCCAGGTCCCAGGGAGGCGTCCCAGCTAGCACGCACGCCGCCTCAAACGAGACGGTGCGGTATCCACGAACCGCCCTGACCGCAATCGCGCTCTGCGGACGTCGCAACGCCTCAACGTTGTCGCGGGTCAGGGCGTGGCACCACACGGGAGCCCCGTACAGTGCCATCGACCGCACCACCCCCGTGTAGAGGCGGCGCACTACCACGTCAGGCCCCCCGACGATCAGTCGGGGACCTAATCTTTCAAAGTGAGCGCGGAAGCTCCAACGACCGTCCAGTACGAGACCGAGGTACCGCAACCCGGTTGCCTCGATCTCGACGCGAACGCCTCCGATCACGAGGTGGGCCCCCTGAGGCGGCGCTCTCCGGACCCCGTGAAACAACAGGGCCTGGGATTTATCAAGCGCCACCTCCAGACCCAACCGTCGGATCCTGCCGATGACGAAGGCCACCCCCGCGCAGGAAAGACGAACAGACTCGCGCAAATCCTTCCCCCGGGCCACGACCAAAGTGTCGTCCGCGTAGCAAACTATGCTTAGACCCGGGAGAGGAGCGCTAAGGGCGCTCCGCAGGACCCAATCATAGCCGATGTTCCACAAGAGAGGGCCAAGGACCGACCCCTGTGGAACACCGCGCTCAACGGGGAAGCGGAGCACCGTCCCACCGTGCCCGGTGCACACGACCGACCTATCCTCGAGGTAGGACCCGATCAGCCGACGGAGATACGCAGGGACGCCATGATACTGCAGCGCCCCCGCGATTACCGACCAGGGCAGGGTGTTGAACGCATTGGCGATGTCCAGGGACACCGCCAGTGCAACCCCACCCCGGCCGACAGCCTCATCAGAGAGGGCGCGCACGCGCATCACCGCGTCGATGGTCGAGCGGCCCTCCCTGAATCCGAACTGCTCCGCTGACAGATCAGGA